GGGTGGGTTACCCTTGTGTTTGTTGGGGGGCCCAGAGGGCCAGTGTTGTGAGGGGCCCAGAGAGGGCGGACCCTGAGAGCGTGATGGAGTACAGGGCTTGGTGCTGCGGTTGCCCCTAGGAGAAAGGGAGTAGTGGCACGGTGAGGCCCGAGGATGTGAGTGAGCAGCTAGAGACCCAGCCCGAAGGGGAGAGTACCCTTGACTGGCCCAAGCTGGGGCCAGGACTTTGGGAGTCAAAAGGGCCAGGAGCCCACCGCGAGCATTATGCTGCTAATGCTTATGGGGTCCCGACTGGCCTGGAGGTGGGCCAGGGCAAGTGGCCGAAGGTCCCGGGGGGACCACACCCGAGAGGGGAACATGGCTTCAGGGGGGCTAGGGAGCCCAGATGACGGCAGAGTGGCCGCCTGATAGGAGAGGATCATAGAGGGGTCCTGTGTGGATGATTCTGGGGCCCAGTATGGGGCCGGTGATTATGTGAACACCATGATGCCATCTGCGAGGCTTGGGCTCCGGTATTGGGGAGGATAGGAGCCGCAGAGAGCGCCCCCTGGTATCAGGGAACTAGATGGGCAGCCTCCCGCTTAATTGACATCTGATTGAATCAATTATCATCAAAGGCATGGCGGGCAAGATAGGCAGGCGGTTGCCCACAAAACAGGGGGCGGGCCATGGAGGTTGGCCCCGAGGAGCCCCCCTGTCACAATCTGTCAAGGTGTTGGATAGCCACAGGGACTGCTTACAGGCATGAAAAAAACCCCAGCACTTTATTTTCAGCTCAGCATGTCCCCACACTGAGCGTAGCACATGCCCAGAGGAGACACCGTGTTAGCTTAACCCAGCCTGCCCAACGTCTGTATAGATCAGATGCTTCAGCAGGTCTTTTTGGCACTTTTATCTAATAGCTGATTGAATCAGTCTTAAGTAAAAACAATAAAAAGCCCCATTGAAGCTCCCAAACATGCTGGGGAGCCAGGTCAAACTAACACACTTCCTCTTCTGGTAAAACTTTGTTTGTTTGTTTGTTTGTTTGTTTGTTTTTCACATCTGTCAGCACCTTCAAACAAACTTTTTAAAAATAGTAAAATGGAAATGGAGTGGGAAGAAGTGTGGGGTGGGGGTTGGAGAGGTTTTT